GATTGCGTGCAGCCTGCATGAGCTCTATGATCGACTACACAGCAACGCTATAATTAAACACGAAATAAAAAGGAACAACGAGAAGTAGAGGCACTGCCACCACCTCCATCTCCTCGATTATACTTTAGACAGCAAGTCTCTAACGACGAAGTAGACATAAAATTTCGCATATCTTGGAGCGATGCTCTCAAAGTCCTCAACCACTATCGCTTGAGAAAGTTTAATTCGAACCTCACAGCTGCACAAAAATCTGTTATGCGACAGGTTCGAGAGCTAATAAAATCAAAGACTATTAGGCTATTAGTTAGTGTTAAGGGTGGAGAGTTTGTAGTAATTCCTCGCCAGTTAGATGTCGATATAACAGAAAAACATCTTGAAGACGCATCTCTTTAACGCGCATCTACTGAAAAGAAATTCAGAAGTCAAAATCGAAAACTGAACAACGAATGGGTCAAAATGGCAAGCGCAGCAGGTTTAAAACCAGCAGACACTTCGCATCTTAAGAACGAAGTGCCGACATGTCCCGTCTTATGCTTATCAAGACCCACGTGTTAATATGCGCTGATGATCTGGCGTCTACCGAACCCTCCACTTTTAAAGTGAGACCCATCATCAGTTGTGTAGACGGGCCTACAGATAGAATTGCTTGGTTTATAAACCTAATCCTCAACCAGTTGCTTAGCCACATACCAGCCCATCTAACGAACACCCAAATGTTCCTAGACCGTCTGCGTAACGCACGTCCCAAAAGCGCGTACGTTATGGAGTCGTTCGACGTTACCGCTCTTTACACTAACGTGTCGAACGACTCCGAAATGTAAACCATTCGCGAGTTTCTTGCTTCAGGCCACTACTCTACTGTAGGTATATAGATGATTGTTTTGTCATCTTCTGAACTCAAGAGGAGATAGACAAATGCTTTGAGTTATTGAACGAATAGTCAGAGTACATAAAATTCGCCCGTGAGAAACCGAAAGAAAACTGGTTGCCATTTCTAAACGTTCAAATCGATCTATCTGAAAACGGCTACAACACAAAATAGTATCGAAAGCCAAGCAGTAAGAATATAGTGGCTCATTACCTCTCCTCTCATCCCTCAAACACTAAAAGGGCGCTTATAAGAAATATGTTTCAAACCGCCGCCAGCGTGTGCACAGGTAGAGAGCAGAGGGAAGAATCCTCGAAACTGGCGCGCCGAATAGCCATTTCAAATGGTTACGTTCTGTAACTTCTCGGCATAGGCATAGAGGAAAAACTGCGCCCCAGAGCGGTAATTCTAGCGTAAACAAGGCCCCGTTCCTCTTGCCCTTTATTTCAAACGAAAGAAGTGCAGCCATAAAACGCTGCTTAATAAGGGCCGGTCTAGAGAATTCCGTAAGAGTGATAGAAATACCACCGGACACTCTAAGACGCCAGCTAGTTCGCAACCGCCTGTACGACCGTCTATGTACAACAAAAAACTGCATAATTTGCCCAAATGGTAGAGACGGTGATTGCATGAGTTCGGGTACAGTCTATCTGATCTCTTGTAAAGCGTGTGGGGACGAATACGTTGGCGAAACGGGTAGAAGACCATTCTATGTCCGCATAAAGGAACACCTGGTCGGTAAATCTAAATTAAAACCAAACACTCCACTAGGCGCGCATAGGATGCAGGAACACAACGGAGATTTCGACGTAGGAGTCACTGTCCTGACGCACGAATCGAAAACATCAGCGCGTAAAACTCTTGAAGCCTTTTGGATCAATGCCAAAAATTCAAAAATGAACCGCAAGGAGGAGTGTCTTGTCATCACGCGTGACCTGGCGCCATACCTCAGGCTGATCCAATGACCTGACATGGACACAGTTATCGACCATGTATTACTCTGTGCGGCGGCTATCCACCAACTAACTTAAATACTTACAACAAATAAACGGTAGGTGTTTGAATGAAGCTGTTTCTTATGCGAATGCAAATCGATGTGTCAAGTTTTATCTGCTGGGGTTATGAAAGTGTTTGGCTGAGTAGATCACATCTCAATTTGACCTTTCCAGGCTCTGAAGAAGGCGAAACCTCCGAAACGTCAGCTATTGTATCCTAATAAATTATATAATAACAACTTTGTGTCTGCTTATTGAAGAAAACCATCGAATTATCAAGCAATACCGAGGTTAGCAGAAAGTCGGTCTCGGAAATGCCTAGTATAACCATGAAAAACTATGTCAGATATAGTTCCCAGGATCGACTTTCTATTAACCTCGGCATTGGAATATGAATGCCTCGTTTTCTTGTTCAGCTTCCATAGGAAAACACAATACAATACAACGCTAGCTGACGTTTCGACAGTATCGCCCTCTTCAGAGCCTGGAAGGGTATACTGATATACAACCTACTAGACCAAACGCTTCAATGACACTTACAAAAAGACTGCCGACGGGTGATTGCTGTGGCAAAGATCGATAGAAATAGCTGAGAGACAGGCGAAACGAAGGACCCGCATGGTGTGGTGGTGAACGCGTTACTCCCCGGAAAGGACAATAACGCGTTCGTTCCCCACCATAGACACCTGCGGTCCAGAGTTTTGCAAATATCTCAGCAACGTTGTGGTTATATTTAGCAACTGGGTCAGAACAAGGTTTAGGATCCACGTTTTCTATCCTTTGGCCTACCTATACAACTGATAATTGGTCTAACTTTCAATGAAGAAGGATCGGTGGACTCAAGTCAGTAGATGTAAGTTTATGTGTCTTAATAAGCAAGTATAGGATACCACATGTTGGATGGTCGTTCTTAAGCCGAGAAATAACTAAAGGCTCTAGACCCGTTGTCTTCGCCGTATTGACCCACTCCATATTTAACTTTCGGTATTGGTTTCTATATTCCTTTTCAGAGGATGCTCGATAGAGAGAAACATCGTTTAGATGTTTATATTTCGAAACCGACCTTCCCTAAACCTCGGTGTGACAAATCAATATGTATTCTTTCTTGATAAGGTTGCACGAGGTTGATAAATATATTTATTTTCGGCTAACGTTTCGACGTCTTCGTCTTCCTCAGAGCCGGTGATCCGAGTCGATGGTCCATGCTTGTTGTTCGCCTCGACGTTGCGTCTTCGCCTTCCTGTCGAGCCAGATCTTCCTCAGCGAGCCATCTTCTCGAATGAGGCATCCTCACTCAGTGATGCCCTTTTATACACGATGCTGATGGTAGATATATAATGACAATGTCCGGTGGTAATAACTTGTATTTCTTCCGGACATACATCATTGCGCACATCGTGCAGAGGTCGGTGTGTTATCAGCTAGCACAAAGCGTAGTAATATTTCGAAACCGACCTTCCCTAAACCTCGGTGTGACAAATCAATATGTATTCTTTATTGATAAGCTTGCACGAGGTTGATAAATATATTTAGATCTGGCTCGACAGGAAGGCGAAGACGCAACGTCGAGGCGAACAACAAGCATGGACCATCGACTCGGATCACCGGCTCTGAGGAAGACGAAGACGTCGAAACGTTAGCCGAAAATAAATATATTTATCAACCTCGTGCAAGCTGACGTCTTCGTCTTCCTCAGAGCCGGTGATCCGAGTCGATGGTCCATGCTTGTTGTTCGCCTCGACGTTGCGTCTTCGCCTTCCTGTCGAGCCAGATCTAAATATATTTATCAACCTCGTGCAAGCTTATCAAGAAAGAATACATATCGTTTAGATGCTCATCATTTATTGTAACATCCAACTGAATGGGAATAACTGAAAATTCTCCACCTTTGTCACTAATAGAAAGCGTAATAGATTTTGAATTCAAAAGATCTCAGAAGATCCGTTTTCTTTTCGTTTCCAATTGTTGATCTATCGTTCTGTCAGCTCCTCTCCTTAGGGTTTCCCCGCAGTTTCCGCCAATAAAGTGAATAATACATCTAAATCGCTTTTTCGTGTTTAAAGTGGCTTGATAGTTCGAAAGAGCGTTGTTGTACGAATTATTTTTCACCCCTTGCTCCTCATCTACGAATTCTTAATCTATCTTTCTTTCCGTTCCCCTGGTCACAATCGCTCTCGTTACTTCCGGCTATGAATTGAACACTCCACTTCGATGACTATTTCACTGAAGACCAATCTCAATTCTTCATTCGCAGACATTAAGATTTGATGAGTAATTAAACGTTAGCGGCAAACATATGAGACCTGAAAAAATATTATTTTTGGTCCTCCACAAGTGTTTTTTCTTACTTTCTACTCTTTCAGGCGACCGTAAGCAAAAATGTTTATATACGACTGGGAATGGTTCATAAAGTCAGTAAGGATATGGGCTTTTCCTGCGATCAATGGATGGTGAGAAGTTTGCAAAATCGAGTCAGAAAGGATCATAAAATGAGTTCCATGAAGCTCCGTCAGTCATGTAAAGGACAGGTTCACACAAAATACTACGCTTGCGCTTCCATGCTCATTGGAAGGCAATCTGTTGTAGAGTTGTTGTCGAAAAACAGCACTATTAGTGTTCTCAACTTGTCGCATAAAACCATCAACCAGAAATAAGGTGGATTCGTTAGCAAAAGCGGTGCCGAGTTTCACCAGGACCGCATTGCAATCACGTGTATTTTTAACGACTGGACGAAAAGCAGTACAAAGTACAAGTAGCAGGGATATTTTGGATCAGACACTTTATATGCTCGAAGTCATACCCTCTGATTGTCATCTTTTCGAATCTCTGCAGACCAGTTCGTACGAAAACAATTTCATTTTTTCTAACAGCAAAGAGATTTGCGTGCACCAGTTCTCCTATAAGGAATTCGCGCAGTGTTTTTGGGCGACACACCGCAATTCGACAACGGATCCTTTGTCATTCGCGAAGGGAAATTTGAATAACGGACAACAGCAGTTTTAGCAAACAGGTCTAGAAAAATCAACAAGCATCACATTTCTCTAAATACAAATAGTCTTAAGCAAATTTAGGGATATTAGGCTAGGTAAGGAACACGAAACAGAAGACAAAGATTACAAGTTACAAATAAATGGCGTCTATGACTTCTTTGCTGGACGTGCTTCAATATTTCTTAAGTGCTGCTTCTTAGAAGAAGCAGATACGCTGGCAACTAGGCAACGAGAACGTCTCGTCTTCGTCGGCGCAACAGCTTCTTCACGAGGTTCAAATCTTATGGTCTTTCTTGGAATTCGTTTACTTTGTCGTTCTTCCTTCATCACAACAGGTGTTTCTTTCAAATTCTTAACAGACGGAGACATATTGTCATTTGCCTGGAATAAATATTAAATATTCAGCATAAATAAGCATATGATGAGTAAATGTTTGTAACAACACCAAGCAAATTTTATACAAAAATTTTACTTATACTCAAAATATACAAAATTTTAATTTTATACTCATTAACATTCTTCCAATGGTTTAACGCCTCATTGTGTTTGGGAAGTGTTCCTAGGTGTCGGGCTGCGATGTACAGCGGGGGGATTCATTCTCCTGGTAGGGCCTCACAAGCTAAGGAGTCCGGCCGTTTCCATCAGGAAGCGCAGTTAAGAGTAAACCAATACCAGGATCCACCACCGTTCTGGTATCAAACTAGTCTCATGGTGGCAAATCTCCCTCTGATCCACAAGCGCGGCTACTTCCTGTGGTGAACGACCTGAGGCAGACTTTGGCCTGGCTGACTATGGGAATCCAGTGAACCACAACGGTTAAACCAGCGAAACTCCAAAAAATTGGTGATTATGCTGGGGCCCGCACAACGAATGAGGACGGGCTATGCAAGTATTCAAGTAACTCATTGCCAACATATATCGTCTATTATAGAAATTAGAAAAATTTCTTAGAGAGAACATACCCGAACTGCAAACTCTCGGATCTCCCCATCCTCTAAAGAGTCACTTTTCTTTACGTTATTCGGTGAATTCGCTTGTGCAGAGTTGCTCATCATCGAACCTTTAACATTGCTATTAAGCTCTGATGCGGTGGTTTCTAGCACTGCCCAATCTTCTTTGCTCTTGTAAACCGATTTTATCGGCAACTGAAAAGATTCAACATTGCCTTCAGAGTTATATAACTAATACATCCGAGACTTTTACCACCTTCAAAAAACCTTTTTTGGATGGTGTTGAAGCAGATGAGTTGTGGACCAGGTTCACCATCAGTGATTTCCTAGTTGGTCTTTCATTACCGCCACACAGACGTGAAATGGTAGTGGGACACTTTCGTAGTGGACTCGACTAATGAGAAATATTTGTTAAAACAGAACATGAGGTGGAAATAAAATGTAAAGAGAAAAGTAGCCTATTGTTAAAGTAAATAGACATCTCTACCAAGAGGAGGAACGAAAACTTAGACAGAACATTAGAAGTATAAAGACCAACGTATCCTAAAGGTGTAGCCTGACTTTCCTGTAGCTCTCCTTCCTCCAAGGAGTCATTCTTGATGATGCCAGACTCTTCTTTTTCCAACAACATTCCATCAACATGTCGAATTTCCAAATGGTGGTCCTTCAAAAAAACTCCGTTCACATGTGCTGTTTTTTGATACTGACTAAAAATACAGAATCTTAGGATTGCGCTTTACGCTGCATTTCCTCTCGAACAGAGCTAAGGCATCATGTGTTCGTCAACCCACACTCCTAAATCTTGGCCGCTTTAGCTCACCAGTGCACCGTTTCTCATGTTTCTGTAGGTAGACCAGTCGACGGAACGCTGTAACATAAGGACATAAGTACGTTATAGTGTGCATTCATGAGCACCACCACTCGGAAGTGAACTTCATGAATAATGGAGGGAAACATTTTAAGCAACATTGTTTTGCTACTTTCCAATCAGAAGAAAAAGATTATTTAATGGAAAATCCCGAGGGAATGTTTACTTACGGCTATTGCACTTGCTACAAAAGAAGCGACTTCGATTTGAGTGTGTTAGTTCATGGACTTTCAGGTCGTTTTTGCGAACAAAAGTTTTCTCGCAAAATAGGCATGCGAACGGTCGATCTAGTGTATGAACTGAACGGATGTGAGCAGCAAGTGCCTGGAATTTCTTGACACCATGGCTAGAATTTTGAGAAGCTAATCAATGAGTGTTGAGCTCCGACTTTGTAAACTTAGGTAAAAACCTATAAAGAGAGACCTATACTTTGCTTATGGAAAATACAGTTCAAATTTAAAGATCAGAAAGGATAATATTGCACTACATCTTCAACCATCCGTCTATTATAGAATCCAGTTGGTTACCACGTAACTCGAGCGGACTTCGATGAAGTGCCCATTCATCCCCAACTGCTGAATGGACTTCACTTATTCAAGGGATACGAACAGCATTAGACTTTCTGTAGGACGTGCTCCATTTCTAATGTTCACGCGAGAATTTGGTAGCGGCGAGTATTCACGCTCTTGTGTGGCATAGATTTGCACTTATCTTAGCGTCCCACAGATCAGCTTAGGTCATTGGTGGAGAATTAGGTGGAGAATTCTACAGTACTAGAATTAGTCTGCAAGATAGTTATGAAAAAACGGATGGGGAGATATTAAGAGACCGGAGATGATATGGATGTGAAGCAGAGGTATGATTGATGACCTATATTAACAACCATTCGTGAATTTCTCGGTCATATACTGCACACTTGGATGGTCTTGTGTCGCCTTCGATGGTGTTAAGCTGGTGGTAAGCTGTACTATCAATATTTCAGCTGGAGTGTTAAGCGACCAAGCCTCATGAGGTAACACAATTGCTCTCATCTCATCGATTCATGCAATTCTTTCTAATACCCTCGGGAAGCACGTAGTCCAAAAGTTATTAGAAGGATTGGGGCTGGATCTCATTACGTACTATTTAAGCAAACTTGTGAAGGTAACTCATGCACAATCACAAGGATCAGCGTTCCTTGCGTTTATTATCGAACAAACAGCCGCCAGTAAACCCTCCATTTGTGCTTGTAACTCGCAGAAATTGGGTTTTGTTCGAGCAATGGACATGACGAGCATCCTACTCTTCTTCTAGGGTCTTCATAAAAAATCTAACCATGATCGGTGGGCTTTCCTTTTCCGCCGTCAACATCTAGTGGAACCTAGTCGTTAACTGCACCTGTTCATCGATTGTTGTTGAAACATAGCAACACAGCACTTTTCCATCCAAGTCGAAAACACTGACATGTCAACGTCTCTAACCTGTGATCACCATCGTAGATCACGTGATGTAGAGTACTCCTACGATTGATCTCTCGATTGCTCGCTCGATAACGCTGTATGATCCTTCATTCTACTTACCTAGCATCTAAGTTTTCAACATATACATTAGGACGGGTAGAATCGCGAAGTTGAAGAGGAAGTGGGAGTGTTCAGAGCTGGAATTCCTTTTTTCATTTCGTTTTATGGTATTGGCTCGACACCGCTTCAGGGTTAGCAAGCCTCTCATCCATCCGGGATCGGGAAATCTGTAGCAGGGTTGTCTGAGATCAGCTTACTCCCATAGTACGCCCATCCCAAGACTTGAGCGAGAATCGACTCGACCATCATTCAACGTCATTAATAACGAAGAAGAAAATCCTTCATCAGTAGCCGAACTCACAAGCAAAAAGGTTTTCATGGATGGTAGATGCAAGGATACGATTCGAATGCAAGAAGTGCTCGGATCCGCGCAGTAGATGTGACGAAGCATCATGGAGAAAAAACATCTTAGATGCGCAGAAAAAACACTATAATTTACCTAACTCTTAGGTCTCTATGCTCTTCTGATTTGGAACTAAATTGTTTATCATGCTCACTTCCCAACATGTACATATTTGAAGCATTCACAAACGTCTCAATTTGAGTGGGAGATAAGGCGTTTATCAGTTCAGACGATAATCTTGCTTAAGTTCAGTTGGAGATCGATCTTCTCATATTCGTTGTTGAAATCGTCGGGCATTCGTTCCTCACAGCTAGCGTTCGTTGTTCTAAGACGATATAAGGGCATATGATTGATGAATTAGAACATGAATGAATGGAACTTAACGGATGAATGAATGAAATGAATGAACCGCAAGGAGGAATGACTCGTAATCACGCGTGATCTAACACAGTGCTTAAGACTGCGATTTTAATGTGAAAGATGCTTTCACATTACGCCTTCATATGAAGTCCGTGCGATTGGTCTTTACGTGAAATAACTGGAAGACTTATAGAAAGCGGTGAACGTGCGAAGCTATTACGCTTTCAGTTCGATAGAAGTCTTGGCTTAGTATTTTCTCTGCTTGGTTATGGAGGTGTTTAGCTGGTAGATTGCACTCAATTTGACCTTTTCAGGCTCTCAAGAGGGCGAAATTCACCGAAACGTCAGCTTTTCCGTCAATAAAGAATGAAGTAAAATATCGTATTTGTTCATCAAGAATAAAGTGAATTATTTGATCAGTGGCGAGGTCAATAGAAAATAGGTCTTGGGAATTAAATCATCAATTTTAGGAGTCGCCCTATTTTTTGTATCAGATGTCAGGGCAGCATGGGGAAGGAGGCGGTCTGTTGTAACAACTAGTAAACCATAGTAGGACTGTGGCAGGATTCCAGTAAATCTTACTCAACCAGGCAATGAGCGAAACTCTAACCAGTCGTCCACAAAATTCAGCAAGGTGAATCATCCAAATACCCATTAAATAAAATCGAAATATCCACATGAATAATCAAGTGTTTCACGTAACCAGTAATTCAGAACCAATAAACTATTACACAGCAAGCAGAAAACTCTTAAAAAAATTTGTTATCAATTATGTCAATAATGTAGAAACAAAGGAAAAAGGACACACTTTAGTGCATTTGTAACCAGGGTGACTGCATCCTTCATATGGACACGCATGCTTCTTCTGCTGGTGTACCATGATATCATGACGACGTAGTCCACCGGCACGGCCGAATTCCGTACCACATTGTTCACATTTAAACGGACGGAGGTTCCTTGATAGCTTGAGTTTAATAGCTTCTTTAAAAGGAAATTTAAATTGAACACTAGAATCAGGAAGCTACCCATGTACAACTCGTTCCCCAAAATTAATTAAATTATAGTGAATATGCACATCTTTCTAGCACTCAGTCGCTTACATCTACTCAACATTTCCACGTACTCTTTTTTCCTTACGTATCTAAAATAAAAGTGATGAAAAGCTTTTACTCTATAAAAGCAGACCTTCCGAACCAAAGGATAGGATTCCAAACACATTCAAGCAATTAAAAGATTATCATCAACGTTCATCCTTTAAACGGCATTTACTATGCAGACATACGATGAAGAACTTGCGATTAGTTTGCTCGGTTTAGTCAAATCTCTTTCTTCTCTTTCTTTCATTCTTTTTTTCTTAAATAATATGAGCTGTGCTATCCTATCCCTTGGTGCTCCTGCAGCTGTAGAGGAAAACAGATTCCTTTTTTACTGAAAACTCGTGATAAAAAATGAAAAAGAATGTTGAAATAAAGAGTCTTGCCAGTGCCACAGGCAACCACAGTGCCAGAAAATACTACACCATATTTTAAAGACTTATTTCATTTCAGTGACACCTTTGCATTCCTAAAATGATGGCTCCCTTAAACGCCCTGCATTTTAAAACTATCTAACATTATTAACAATAGTCTAGGTAGTACTTCTTTATGACTACCTAGAAAAGGAAAACTTACTAAAATCCATTCTTGGTGAGTCGACAAGCAGATTAAGAAATAAAGGATTTTTGAACGTAAAATATAGAGGAGAATATCAACAAAAACATCAATGGTGCCCATGGAGTGGGAGCGAGAATGTCATGGCGGTTGCAAAAAACGATGAGATTGTATGGTGTTCGAACACCGCAAATAACAACAGTGCTGGTTTTTCTTCAACAATAACGGTAGTACAACCACTATGATGCTGAGTTATTTGCAAAACGTTCACATTAATGCACATTCAAACCCTCGACCACCCTTTCCTGGGGTTCACGTGTAACCCACTGCACCACTGAGGCGCTCGATCTGTTCTACTCTCAGCTAGTTTTTACCCTAACAGTGCCATCAGCAATCACCTGTCAACGGAAATGGTCTGGGGAGCACAAATCGGCACTGAACCCAGATAAGCTGAGGCTGTTAGTTTAAAAAAAAGTTAACATTGTGATTTTGACTATAGAACAAGTGAGCCACCGGAATGGGTAATCACGGCTTCGAGTCTGGCCTAGGGTGAAGGTTCTGCAAATACCTTAGCATTATAGTGGTTGTATTTTATATTATACGCTACCGTGAGAAATAGTAATAGGCAGTAAATCAAAAAGAAAACGTTGCAATAAAAAGTAAATTTTTGATAGCTAGTATTAAGAAAAGACAGTTTTATTATTTTCTCTTTATTTTATTTGATCCGTTTTCACATCTACTGTGCGGATCCCAGCACTTCTCACGACCAATTCGTTTCCTCGCATCCATCATCTATTATGGTCTTCGAACTGTTACGTGTGGCTTCGTCTGCTGCTTGAGGATTTTCGTTTCATCTCGAATACCGTGGAATACTGGTCGAACAGTTCTCCCTGGAGTCCCGAGATAGCTGGGCTGAAGCATTCCCAGTTGGCTTGCAGAGAGCGACTTTTCCCAGAGAAGCTTGGTACCAATTTTTCGACCCCAGAGGGAGGACAGGATTGGCTGGTGTGGAATGGAATCGAACCAGCACCATGCCCATGATGATGGAGATCACTACCACTGTGCTATCCGCCCTTTGTGTAATACTATATCATACTATTACAGGCGAGACTATACTTTATCCATCCGTGGGCATGTATTTTATTATAGCTCACCATTGGAAGCACTGTACTTAGGTATTGTTCGTATTAACCCATTCCGTACGATAACTACGACCTATTACAATAATGAGAAACGGAAAAACAGCCATTTTTTCTCATTTCACATGACTCGTCTTCACCTCCACGGTGCTGATTCCAGCACTTCTTTCGCTACTCTTGTTTCCTCGTATCTATCCTCCATTAAGATTTTTCAACTTTTTTTGTGTGCGTTCGGCTGCTGGTTGAGGATTTTGTCTAGTTTATGAAAGGCGCTGAATGCTGGTCGAGTCGATTCTCGTTCAACTCCTTGCATAATTGTGCCAAAGTGTCCTACGTAGATATGAGGGGTGAGTTGTGCTCATAGAAGTCTGGTACCAATTTCCCTACTCCGGAAGGTCGATAGTGTTGGTGAGACCGGAATGGGTTATATAGTAACTATTCCCTGAATAGTTCCTACTTTTATACTATCTTAAGTTTCCTACATTAGCTGTTTACTTGTAACTACCATATATCTATCTTTGCACATTCTGCAAGTTGCTTCCTAGTGACCATCTCATGCATTTGCTTCGCGGCTGGTGGGAAACGATTCCTGTAACTTCTGCTTAACAACTGTTCCTCTCCGCCCGACAGTTCGGGAAGTGAATAAGCAGCTGCCAGCTGCAAATATTCATCAGTATTTGCCATTCCAGTCTGCATTTTGTACAAGCTTCTGCACTGCTATCACACCCCTTTGCTGTAAAAGCTTTGTATAGCCTTTAGAAAATCTCTACAGTCTCCTTTTAAGCATTATCTCTAGTTCCCTTATACAAAATTTCGCCCATTACAGCAGAGACATAAGGAGCACTACTAGTTTTTCGGGTGTCTCCGCAGTCCCAGTGCCTTGGCGTCTCCGCATTCCGCTGTTCCCGTACTTCGCTCATATCCCTTCGCTCAACTAGGTATCGTCAGATTGTTAATATTGTATCGCTATTATTGGTATGAACTGTTATAATCGAAACTCGAAGTTGTCCTCTGTAGCTACGGAAAAAGTCCCGAGTGGCAAACTCGTACAAGGTCGATTATTCCATCTACAGTTGGCGGACAGAGGACAAATCCGACCAACTACTCTTCCATATTCCACTGGCCAACTATCACAGGGTCGAACCAGCATTATGCTCGTGATGAAAGTCATCTATAGGGGCTGCAGAAACGATAAAACTCGGTCATGTTCGAACACAGCAAGGAAAGAACGATGCTCTTTTTCCAACAATGAGCGATGAATTTTCGGTGGCCGAAGAACTTAAGATGGAATAGCGAATTATTGTTGAAAAACCGCGCTTTACAACCTTGTTTTGGGATAATTTCCGGTGATTTTCGGTGACCACGGGACTCCAAAAGTTGAAAACTTGACGTACTTGCAGAACGGATTTCGTAAGAAGAAGATGGATGTATTGAGGTTAGAGGTGGGTAGTCTAACAACGTATTGTCTCACAAGAGGATAAACCATCGCGTGTGGATGAACTGCATTGAAATAAACCGCCACATTGATGTGAGTTACCGTTAAAAAAATTGGCCGTCAAAAAAGATCCCGCTCTACACATTGAGTGACCTTGAGAGGCCAGGTAATGAACAAGCCAATTCTTTATCCTTCGTATACGAATCGGCTGCAAAAGCCCAAGCACCGGAAGAAACAGAATTTTGTTTGCCTTCAATATGACACATGCGAGATCCGAATGAACGAATACATGCATATCAGCAGTCCCTCTTTAATAAATTGTGTGCCTTAGAAAATAAATGGGCTTTCTCTCTGAAGAACGATTAAGAAAATAACCACACATACTGATGAACAACGTCAATGTGCTCCTTCAGTTGATTTTGTGTATTATAGATCTGTAACAGCAACAAGTATGAGTGTTGTTCAACGAACTGAACCGTCTAGTACCTTGTTGCAGTGGTGACAGACGAACACATTTCGTGGTCTCTCGCCATGTAGGCGTGCTTCATGCCTCTGAGCCTTTTCTAATGTTCTAAATATCTAAAACAACACATTGAAAAGCCGGAAATTTCCAGACCCGGATTGTTTGCGTGCCAATGCTGCACAATCCATGAGTTTCATATGAATTGAGAGTAACGTACAGTAGATGTCAAGATAAAACCCCTTAACACTTAGCAATCACATAGAGCAGAAGGGTTTAAAACCTAGCAATCCTAGAAAAATTTGAGCACAGTTACTTATAGAAGAGCCACAAAAAAGACTACAACAAAATCAATACGTGGCAAAATGTAAACATAACACGATGAAATTCTAGAAGAGATCTCACCTTCTTACATTTTGTGCACTGGAATCTCCTCGCTACCACTCGCACAAATGCTTTCTTAACTCCATTTGGGTTGTGATACTATAAGACCAGTCCACTCAGAAATACGCAATAGCCGAGGTGAAAAATAATAAGGATAAATAATGAGCAAAGTGTTCGCGTGCTTGCCTTGGATGCTTGGATGGCCTGTCTTCACTAGTTGTGGGGGCCACATCATAATTTCCGTTGCTTCGGAGTTTTTTTGGTTTAGTCATCGTGGTTCTTTGGAGTTCATAGGTCAGCCTAGGCAAAGTCTGCCCCAGGTCGTCGCTACCACAAGCAGTCGCTGCCTTTGCGTATCAGAGAGAGATTTGCCACCATCTAACTAGTTTGATACCAGGACGGAGGTGGATCCTGGCATTGGTTTACGCTTAGCCGGGTTTCCTGATGGAAACACCTGACTCCTCAGCTTGTAAGACACTGCTGGAGGACGAATCGCGTCGCCGTGCATCGCAGCCCGGCACCCGGGAACACCTCCCAGCCACGACGAGTGGGTAAAACGGGTGGAATGAATAATGTACCTGGAAGAAATGTTGTTGTACATTTTGCTTCATTGTGAATGAGCGATTGCATTGGTCACATATAAATCGCTTTTCGCGAAAACGTTGAAACCTGAAATTTAAAAGAAAAAGTGATGTTCGTAGGCCGGACTAATATTGAATTCATTCATACTTTTGCCGTGGTTCCGTGACTATTGGTGGTTCAGCCTCAACAGCTTCAGGTTTCAGTGAATGGCGATCGTTGATGAAGATCTCCTACGCTTCTAATATATTACAGACTGACTAAGTACTATGAAATCTATCTACTTCTGTTTAACAAACACGAGATGTTATTTTACTTCTTTATTTACCTACAAGCTGACGTTTCAGCGGATTTCGCCTTCCTCAGAGCCTGGAAAGGTCAAGTTGACAGCAATCTACACGGCCAAACACCTCCATAACCAAACAGAAAAGCTGAACCAAAATTTCAACCATAGTGAACACATAGCCTTTGCACACTCACCGCTTTCTATGACTCTTCCAGTGAATATGTCACGTGGAGATCAATCGCAGAGAGTTCACATGGGATCGTTATGTGTCCCTCCCAACAGAATAACTTGCTTATATAGTACCCAATATCACTCGTGATAATGAGACATTCTTCCCTGCGGTTCATTTTCGGATTCTTGGAATTAATCGAGAATGCCCTGATGCCTTGACAGTCTTTGCGCTTGTGTTCTA